GTTTACACATCTTATATGTGCATTTGCCAATGTCAACTCCTCTACCTATGAGCTCTCCATCCCTCCTAACTTTCAACAGAACTTCTCAGTCTTCACCGGTATCGTCAACCACAAGAATCCTTCAATTGTAACACTTCTATCAATATGGAATGGACAAGAAAATACGTACAAGTCCATTATAGGTGAGGCAGTTAACAGTTCTGTCTTATCTTCAATGCTGACAGAATCTTCTTACAGGAAATCTTTTATTGAATCTTCAGTAAAAACAGCCAGAACTTTTGGGTTTCAAGGAATAGACTTGTTCTGGCTTTGGCCCAATAGCACAGATTTGTCAAATATAGGAACTCTGTTGGATGAGTGGAGGGCTACTGTTGATTCTGAACCAAGAAACTCAAGTGTGTCGAAGTTGATATTAACAATGGGTGTTCGCTACTCACCAAGTCTTCTAAATGTTACTTATCCAATTGATTCAATGAGAAGGAATTTAGATTGGGCACATGTTGTAGCATATGACTATCACATGCCTTCAAGGGAGAATTTTACTGGCAACCATGCTGCTTTATATAATCCTTCAAGCAATATTTCTACTGATTTTGGCATAAAAGAATGGCTAAATAAGGGATATCCAGCAAGCAAACTCGTTTTGGGTTTGCCTTACCATGGATATGCTTGGACACTGGTGAATCCCAACAAGAATTCTCTTGGCGCACTGGCCTCAGGTCCTGCTGTTACTCTTGATGGTTCCATGGGCTATAGGTTCGTCAAATCTTTCATTCAAAATTATGGTTATGGAGCTAGGTCAGTGTATAATTCTACTGATGTAGTAAATTATTTCATTGTTGGATCAACTTGGATCAATTATGATGACGTGGAGACTGTTAGAGCTAAGATTTCTTATGCAAAGGGAAAAGGTCTACTTGGTTACAATGTGTTTCAGGTGATCAATGATGATAATTGGGCGCTTTCTCTGGCAGGTTGGTAATGATTTTTTATCTTAGATTGTGAATTGGTAAGGTAAATGAAAAAACTCTGATGGCTTTGACAATACTCTGCATCAGACAGAATACTATAGCACCAAATTATCCCCACATCTGCTCTCAATCTAGCTTGAAGTCTAATCCTCAGCTTGCAGCCTTGAGTTTTTCATCCAGAACTATTAAATCTACGTAGATACCTCCTAGGTTTTTGTTTGTGCCTTTGTGTCTCTTGTTCCTGTTTGAGATTATCACTAGTAAAAAAGTCATTCTTTACCCTTCTCTACATCCAACCATACAGAAGTTGAAACCAAATAGATTAAGAAACCTTTTGTTCAATTTGATGAGAGATTAATTTAGTGACCTTTATTAACAGCACAAGATGAAGTACACGAAGGAAAAAGGAGCTGGTTATGGCTAAAAATTACGATTCCAATTGCTTCAATCAGTATCCTATTAGCCTCATTGATGTGTTACTATCGAAGCAGACTTTTCGAGCGAAAAGGTAAATTAAATTAAACGATTGAGAGGGTTCACCTTTTACCTTCATCAATGGGATGACATACAGATAAACATTTTTCGGTTCTTCCTCCTTTTTAGCTCCAGGAAGCCTAGTCTTAGGTGATACAAGTATCTCTGGTCGAGGAACTAGTTCATCAGCCGGTGCAGAAAAATTTGGTGGCAATCCTCCTAGACTGGAAGCGTTCAGTTTTGACAACATAAAATCAGCTACAAATAACTTTTCAAGTGAAAACAAGCTCGGAGAGGGTGGGTTCGGCCCTGTTTATAAGGTACTTTATGGTTCATTCATTGTATTCCTCACAAGAAATCTCACATTTGGAACAATGCATGTTGAATTTAGGTTTGTTTACAGGAAATAATGCTAACGTCGAGTCTCAAAAATTTTTACTAGGGTAATCTACCAAGAGGCCAGGAAATAGCAGTGAAGAGGCTTTCAGCATCGTCAACTCAAGGACTTGAAGAGTTCAAGAACGAGGTTTCACTTACGGCTAGACTTCAACATGTAAATCTAGCTAGGCTTCTGGGATTTTGCTCCGAGAGGGAAGAGAAGATGCTAATATATGAGTACATGCCAAATAAAAGCTTGGATCTCTACCTCTTTGGTACGCATTCTGCAATGCTTTTTACTTTGCAGTTATAGCTAATAAGCACACATTTAATTAACTTTTAGTTTTATAACAAACTTAAGTCAGTCTACTCATTTCTATTGGGAGCTCTACATGGATGCCAAACTAATATCATTCTTCAGATGAATAGCCACCAAAAGCTTCTGATCCTATGCCATTTTATGCAGATCCTATTAGAAGGTATATCTTGGATTGGAGTAAGCGGGTTCGTATCATTGAAGGGGTTACTCAAGGGCTTTTATACCTCCAAGAGTACTCAAATTTCACAATAATTCATCGAGATTTGAAGTCTAGCAACATTTTACTAGACCATGAAATGAACCCGAAAATATCAGATTTTGGCATGGCTAGACTTTTCAGGAAAGATGTGTATGAAGCAAACACAAGCAGAATTGTTGGAACATAGTAAGTAGCTGCCTCTCATCAAGGATGCTCCATCTCAATGCCATTAACTTCTTGTTTTCTGTACATACTAATTAGCAGTGACATATCCTGTGCAGTGGCTATATTCCCCCAGAATATGCAAGGAAAGGCATATATTCCATGAAGTATGATGTATTTAGCTTTGGAGTTCTACTTCTGCAAATCATAAGTGGAAAGAGGAACACCTGTTATTATGGCGAAAACGAAAGTTTAAACCTTTTAGAATATGTAAGTTACTTGAATTTCTCTCAATACTGCAGCGCTTGATTCGCTAATGAAGTATTTTACATAGAGTTGAAATACACTGACTTGATGCAGGCATTTGACCTATGGAAAAAAGGGCAAGGCATGGAATTCATTGATCCATCTTTGGATGATTCATCTTCACCTTGCAAACTAATGACATGCATGAATGTTGCTCTGCTGTGTGTCCAAGAAAACCCAGATGCTAGACCAACAATGTTAGAAGTTTTCTCAATGCTAAAAAATGATGATTCTCTGGCTGTAGCTACTCCTAGAAGGCCAGGATTTTCAGTGAAAAAAGACGAGCACTTGGAAACTGCATCCTCATCCCAGCAAGAAATGTGTTCATTCAATGATTCTGAAATTTCCCAATTGGAGCCCCGTTGACAGCATAAGATTTAATTGAAGACTTGTAAGCTAAAGTATTAGTATAACTGATCTTCTTTTGTCATGATCTTGCGTTCTTCCCCACACTGACATCAAGTCTTTGTTAATATCAGTTACTTATTATCTTTTCCCCAATACAAAATAAAACTTCTTTGCTAATTATCCTTTCGGAACCAAAAAACATGGCTAACCACTCTTCAAATTTGTGCGTGAATCAAAATTAAATTTCTTCTGCAGGCTAGAAATAATGAGTTGAGTATTTAAATGTCGAGGAAAACTTTTCTGGCAAGACCTATTGCATTCATGGCTAACCACCACAATTCACTACTCTAACTTGGGCTAAAGGTCATGGATTCATTGCTCATTTTCAAGCACTGAAAGCCAGCCTAAAGTCCAGAATGCTTAAAAATTGCACGAAAGCCCAAAAAATACTACTTTTAAACCATCCCTGATGCCACCACTCTGGCAAAACCCAAAAATGAGATAATTATATAGATTCCAATGGCTGTTTAGGCCCAGATGTCTAAGCTGAATTCTTTTTCTTTTTCCATGTCAGCTACGTTGAAAAGGGATGATTATTCGATTTTTTGATTCAATTTTAGCATTTTTATTTTTTCGATTAACAGAATTAACTAAAATCAAAATCAAAATCAAACCGAGTTGAGGTTATGATTTTTCGGTTAAAAAACCGAATTTTTTAGCTGTTTTACTTTCACCCACTGCATCAAATTGGATAGGCCCAGATGTCTAAGCTCAATTGTTTTTCTTTTTCCATATCAGCTATGAATTGACAAATTCAGACTCCAACCCAATATCTTACTCCTTTGTTCTTACATTGCTAGCTTTTGGGCGAAAATTCTGCACCACGACCATACATGAATACAGGACAAAAACAAAAGCCACGCAGAAAGGGGTTACATTACACCTATATATATATATATATATATATATATATGCATATTGTATTTCAAGCTTTATAGTACGTATTTTTGCAACAGGAAAATATTCTACTTGCATAATTTTTATGCCCTCGTGTTTTATGGGCTCGATGTTGCTTTGAAGGTTTCAGTTCTCAAAATGTACACTCAAAATATAACTGATTCTTGGAAGTATGAGTAGACTAGGTATCTTCAAGAAACCTGACTTGTTCAAGCTACAGCATATACGTTGACCGCTCTATGCTTTTCTAATCACAAGAATCTACTTCTCTTGTCCGATTTTGCTTATCCCTTAAATCTATTCTAGAAATTGGAAAAATGCCTACTTTTCTTCTATCTTTTTTTAAAAAAAAAAAAAATTCCAATGTGAGGAATTATGAAAACTAATCCAAACAACATTTTAGCTCAATTCAAATCAGTTTAAACATAGAAGCAGTTTTTTTTTTTTTTTCAAGTAAAATTGTTGAATGGGTCACGAGGGACGGCTTCTAGAGATATTATATATAATATATTGTTGTTATTTATTGATCATTTACCTAATCCTCTAGCACCCAAGAAGACAAAGAGTGAGATAAATTATCACTAAATGGTCAAATAGCCACTTTTCTTATAACACAATCACCAATGTCAAAATAGCTTACTCATTCCTCAAACTTCCAATGATGCCTGGCTAAGCACAACCATCCAAGCATGTACGACTAGAAGATAAGAAAAGTCAACTTTTTCATTTTAAGAACCCTAACACATTTTTCTATATAAGTTGAGACAAACCTTCGACAATGAGAGCATTAATTTATAGAGGAAGCCCCAAGCACTAAATGGCTAGCCACAAAATGACCCACCTCCTTCCAATCATTGTACTCTTGACCATCACCACCGGATGTGTCATGGCTTCACATCCGGCAATCAAAGCTGCTTATTGGCCTTCATGGTCAGAAACTTTCCCACCTTCAGCCGTAGACACAACTTTGTTCACTCACATCTTCTATGCTTTTCTCTTGCCAAGTAATGTCACTTTCAAGTTCGAATTATCTGATTCGACGGCTTCCCTTCTCAAGAATTTCACTACCACCCTTCATCAGAAAAACCCACCGGTGAAGACTCTCTTCTCAGTTGGTGGAGGTAGTAGTGATCCAAAACTCTTTGCTAGAATGGCTTCAAACGTGGGATCACGTAACATTTTCATAAATTCAGCAATAGAAGTGGCAAGGAATTATGGGTTCGATGGGATGGATCTTGACTGGGAATTTCCTCAAAACCCGAAAGATATGGCTGACTTGGGCCAGTTGTTTAAGGAATGGCGAGTTGCTATTCAAAAGGAAGCCAGGTCCACCCACCGGTCTCCACTGTTGCTCACGGCTGCCGTCTACTTCTCCGTTGACTTTCAATGGGCCGAAACCTACCGAAAGTATCCTGCGGCATCGATCGCCAAAAGCTTGGATTGGATTAATGCAATGTGTTTTGATTATCATGGTTCATGGGACACTTCGGCAACCGGAGCCCACGCAGCATTGTATGATCCCAATAGCAACATAAGCACAAGCTACGGGCTTACATCATGGATTCGAGCTGGTGTTCCTCGACACATGGTGGTTATGGGCCTGCCACTGTATGGAAAAACTTGGCAACTTAAAGACCCGAATGTAAATGGAATCGGAGCACCGGCGGTGGCGACCGGCCCTGGAGATGGCGTGCTGGTATTTTCCGAGGTGGAGAAATTCAATAAAGAGAATGGTGCTACGGTGGTGTACGATGCCAGAACTGTGTCAACGTATTCTTATGCTGGGACATCATGGATTGGGTACGATGACAGCAGATCCACGACTATGAAAATAAAGTTTGCTCAGGCCCTTGGGCTTCGTGGGTACTTCTTTTGGGCCCTTAGTTTTGATAGTGAATGGAAAATCTCAAAGCAAGGTAAACTTTCTTATCGCCAGGAACCCTAGTTCCCATTTTGTGAATTATTTTAGGTAGATTGACAATTCTTACTGGTTTTTTTTTTTTTTTTTTTTTCAGCTTCAAGGGCATGGGTCATTGGATAGGAAAGTTTGGAGCTTTCTGATTTCCAAGAGGTTGATGGATCTCAACTCGAAGCCTACAGTAATGGAATGAAAAATCCCATTTATTTGTGTCCCCAAATTATTGATTAGTCATTTTAATAAAAAATAAAATAAAATAAATTGTGTTTCAAATGGCATGGGATAGGCGCTAAGAATGCAGTTTAGAACTACGATGATTTTTTTTTTTTTTTTTTTTGAGAATTCCTCAATTAGAATGATGATTAAATGATTTCGTACGTGTATTTATGCCAAAAAAAAAAAAAAAAAAAAGAACACTTCCGAATATATTAACTACCAGATTTTGAAAAGATCACGTGTTAAAATTGTTTCTTATTAGTTTTTTTCTATTGCTTGACTGATATTAACTCCCTGTTGGCTTAGCCATCTTTGCCAGAGGAAATAGCAAAAAATAAATAAATGTCAAATAGTTCTCTAAATTATATGGACGCCTGTTGGCTTAAGCACCTTTATTGAAGGAAGTAATGAAAAATAGATAAATGCCAAACATCTCAGATGGTCAAAACTATCCATAGATACTTAAATAATTAAAGGAACACGTTATATATATATATATATATATATATATATATATAATTGTAGGATTTTGAAGAATTATAACTTTATATAATCAATTCCATTATATTCATTTCGCGGGTATGTTATAATCACAAAATGTTAATTTTTGAAAATAGGATTATTTTTTAATAAATTAAAATTTTATCATTACTACTAATATTTGTTGTTTTTAACACATAAAAAAAAACATAATAAAATAATAAAAATCACATAATAAATAAATAAATCCATTGTAAATTAAGCTAGATATAGATTTAAATGTTTTTACCTTGATTATTAGAAAATTAGGAATTAAAATCATGTTATCGTAGTTTTATAATGTATAGATAATTAAGTCATCAAAATTATTATAATTGAACAAGTTGAATATGACTAGATTATGACACCGACTATGTTGTTTTCTTAAGATAATATGCGTTGTTTATAAAATTATTTGATGCAGTAGATCAATCATATATTATACGATATTTCAAATATATAATAACCCAACTTTATTTTACGTAGCTTTATAGTCTTGCACTGCTTATCAAGCAAAAAGCTTTTTGATCTCATTATAAACTTTATTTCAAATATATAATATTTTTTAGAATTGTAAAAATATTCAACAATTCTCCACTTATTTTTATTTAAAAAAAAAATTGTACACTATCTGGATAAAAATAAAATGTTATACGTGTTAATGGCTTAAACTCCACTTAACATTTCAACAAGTTTTTTTCCAAAATCAATAGTAAATATTGTTTTAAACTAAGACTTATTTAGGTTACAAACAAAATATCACACACATATCACTCAAGTACTATACAATTATTTTTTAATCCAGCACATTACGGTCCAGTGAATTAGAGAACATTTTCATTGTTTTTTTCTTTTTTCTTTTTCCAGTTTCAAGGGCTTGGGTTATTTGAATTAAGAAGTTTGGAGCTTTCTAATTTCCAAAAGGTTAATTGATCTCAACTCGAAGCTATATATATATAATCATGGAATGGAAAATCCCATTTTCTTGTGTTCCAAAATCATTGACTATTCGTGTTAAGAAAAATAAAACAAATTATGTTTCAAATGATATGGGATAGGCACTAAGAATGTAGTTTAATTAGAACTATGTTAATTTTTTATTTTTTATTTTTTTTAGAATTCCTCAATTAGAATGTTGATTAAATAACTTCTTACGTACGTGTATTTACAAAAATAGAAAAAAGAAAAATACTATTTCGATTGTACACGCTCATGCAAAAATGGTTGGCCATGTTACTCAATATGAAAACCATGATAATCTACAAAATATGAGGTAGTTCAATTCCACTGGCATCAAATTTCGTTAAATTCATAATTAGTAATAAAATTTCCTTTTAATTGCCATATAACATAATTGAAGTATTTTTTTTTTTTATTGAGAGAACAAATTAGATAAAATTTCAATAAAAATTATAAGATTGGCGTTTGGTGCAAGTAAAATTTACTGAAAATAACATTTGAGATATTGATGAAAATCAAGAAAATAATAATTATAAGGTACAAGTTCAAATATTTTAGCGCACACATATATGTGTGTGTGTGTGATTTTGAAGAATGATGATTTTATATAATCAATCCCATAGCATTCATTTAGTGGTTATGATACAAAATGTTAATTTTTGAAAATAAGATTATTTTTTTAATAAATTAAATTATTTAAATTTTTAACTTTACATGCACAATTATTATAATAAAAATATATAGTATTTGGTAGTGCAAGTTTACCATGGTAGTTAATTAAATATTCATCATACACAATGAAAATAATAATAAGTCCAGCTATCCTTCGTTGTGAAAATACTTCAAAATTCTAAGTTTTTTAGATTGATTCGTGCCACATTATTAAAAAGGATAAATAGATTAAATAGGTTAATTTTTTTTCTTAGATGATAATTTGAAATTTTTTAATTGCTTCCGTTATGTTCTTTAATAGTGTCTCAGTAAAAAAAAAAAAAAAATGAATAAATGTCAAACATCTCGGTTTGTAAAAACTACCAATAGATACTTAAATAATTAAAGGTACAAGTACAAGTTTATATATATATATATATATATATATATATATATATATATATATATATATACTTGAAGAATTATAATTTCATATAATCAATTCCATTATATTCATTTCACGGGCATGCTATAATTACAAAATGTTAATTTTTGAAAATAGGATTATTTTTTAATAAATTAAAATTTTATCGTTATTACTAATTGTTGTTCCTAACACATAAAAAATAAATAATAAAAATTGTATAATAAATAAATAAATAAATTCTATGTAAATTAAGATAGACATAGATTCAATTTTTTTTACCTTCTCCGTTAGAAAAATTAGAAATTAAAATCATGCTATCGTAGTTTTATAGTATATAAATAATTAAATAATCAAAATCATCATAATTGAAATTACTGTTGTAGTTTAGAACTACGATTTTTTTATTTTTTTAGAATTCCTCGATTAAAATTGTTGATTAAATAACTTCTTACATGTATTTACAAATTAAAATAGAAAAAAGAAAAATACTCTTTCGATTGTACACACTCATGCAAAATTGGTTGGCCAAGTCACTCAATATGAAAACCATGACAATCTACAAAATATGAGGTCGTTCAATTCGAGTGGCATCAAATTTCACTAAATTCCTAGTTAGCAATAAAGCCTCCTTTTGATTTCCATACAACGTAATTGAAGTATTATTATTTTTTTATTTTTTATGGAGAGTAGAAATTAGATACAATTCCAATAAAAATTATAAGATTGGCGTTTGGTGCAAGTAAAATCTACTAAAATAACATTTGAGATATTGATGAAAATTAAAAAAATATATATTAAAGTAGCTAAATTAGTACAATATTAGATTTCAAAAATATCATAAGTTACAAGTGCTACCTCTTAGTTTTTCCAATGCCTCGACTCATATCAACTACAAGCTGCCTCAACAATCTTTACTGAAAGAACTAAAAAAAAAAAAAAAGAATGAAGGTAGAAGTTCTGAAATTACAATACAAATGGATACCAAGATGATAATTAAATGTACAAGTTAATATATATACGATTTTCAAGAATTATAATTTTATATAATCAATTGCATAGAATTCATTTAGTGGTCATGTTATAATACAAAATATTAATTTTTGAAAATAAGATTATTTTTTAATAAATTAAATTATTTAAGTTTTTAACTTTACATGCACAATTATTACATTAAAACAATAAAAATATATAGTATTTGGTGGTGCAAGTTTACCATGGTAGTTAATTAAATATTCATTATACACAATGAAAATAACAGTTCCAGCCATCCTTCATTAATTGTGAAAATACTCCAAAATCCTAAGTTTTATAGATTGATTTGTGCCACATTATTAAAAAGGATAAATAAATTAAATAGGTTAATTTGTTCTTAGATGATAATTTAAATTTTCAATCTATCTCTATAATTTTAATTACTTCCACTATGTTATTTAATATTGTCTCATCATCAAATTTGTCATTCCAATCAATTTTTTCGACCACAAGTAATTTCTTAATCAGAATGTCCTTGATTGAAATACAAAAAATAAAAATCTAAAGACTTTCAAAATGAAAAATGGAAGTCATATGGCTTTAAGTAGTTTTTTTTTTTAATATTTAACCAAAGGCATTTCAATAAAACAATTTTGCCCATGGTCAAACAAATTGATTAAAAATCATATTAAAAATTTAAACATTATTTAAGAAAATAATAGATATAATTAGAAAGCAAAGTAAATAAAAATTATATAACTTTATAGTGGGGGATTAAAGAAGACAAAAATGAAGAAATATTTCTCTCTAAGAGCCCAGAAAAAAATACCCACCAAACCTTGGTCCCTAGCAAAATTAACCTTCCCTACAGTTGATTCAAATCCATCATACCCAATCCAGTTAGTTCCTGAATCCCAGCATGTTGATACTGTCTCCGTATCATACGCCACATTAGCAACATTTTCCTTGTTAAAATTTAGTATCTCATCATAGGTCACAATCTCATCGTTTTCAGGTCCAACTCCCACACTAGGAGTTCTAATCCCATGTACATTAGAATCCTTCAATTGCCATGTTTTTCCATCTAAATATTATACCAAATAAATTATTTGATCCCGTTCACTTGTCATGTTTTATTTTCCCATATACCATTAAAAAAAACTTTCATATAGATCGAAAAATAATCAAAATAAAAAACACAAGAAGATTGGCTTGAGAGGAAAAGGCTCTAGTGGCTTAAGCAAATGGTCTCGAGTTTGAGTCCTTGTGTACGCACAAAACTCTCTGAATAACTGTTCTCATCTTGTGCGTCCGACAAAATAATAAAAGAATAATCTAGCCTAAAACAACCCATCATACCCAATCCAGTTAGTTCCTGAATCCGAGTATGTTGATACTGGCTCCTTATCATACACCACATTGGCAACATTTTCCTTGTTAAAATTCCCAATCGAGGTCAAGGCCATCAAAATCATAATTTCTAGCTACTTCAATACTAGATCTGATAAAGGCGACGAATTGGTGGCACTGCTAACCATGTTAGATAAAGGGGTGGAGGAATTGCCTCCACCAATGGACAGAAGGGCTTTTGCACGTGGATTTTTTGCATGGAAGGTGGCTGTGAAATTCTTCATCCATTGATCATCATACTGTGTGATCGACAATAGAAAAGTAGGTGCATCTCGTGCAACAAAAGCATAAAATAAGTGGCTGAAGTAGATTGTGGGAATCATTGATGGAGGAGACTGTTCGGCTAGCCATGAAGTGCAATAGCCACTTTTGATTCCAGTAGAGGAAGGATACGAGATGGCATTAGTTCAGGCGTTAGAGCTGGTTTTGGCAGTATGGGCCATGAAAAGTCTAGATTAGAATCTGGATTGTAATTAGGAGTTGACCAGAATTTTGAAATGCATTAGACAGAGAAGTTTTTCCACTGGGAATGAGGACAACCGGGCAAAAGAGTGACAACAAATTCCCACCAGCCATTCAGAGCTCGAAAAGATAGGAGTTTGGATGGTAAAAGGTAATCCAAGTTGCTGCCACTGAAAATTCCAATTGTAATGACTATCCCCTATGGCATAAAAAGCTACGGTTATATTGATGCTTTTGGCTGTTTTAATCGCTCTGCTTGGAGATCAAAGAGCTTGTAAGTTGTAACCCAATAATAATAGTGTCTTGCAAAAGATTATAAGTTCAAATCTTTATAAACTAATTCTACCAGAAGTCTCGAATATGTGTCGGATATTAGTTTTTTTTTTAATAAAAAAAAAACGCTCTGCTTAGAGAATTGACTATGGATTTGTGTTTCAGATTAAAGACGAATTTTAATTGGCAGAAAAATAGTAAGAATATGGACACGACTCTTGCTATGAAATGACTAGGTTGTGGACTATTCTAAAGGTTCCCATTGGCCAATTATGCATTTCCAAAATCTAGACAAGTATATGCTTTTCGTTGGCCTCTTCGTTAAATTGGCTTTTAACTGTAAGTAAACTTGCCCATCAAAGTTTAGAATTCGAGCACAACGAACAGCTGGAAAAATAGACAGAATAAGAACACGTCTTGCATCGATCTGAGTTAGGTTAAATTGAACGGTAGCCGAACTCATGATAAAATCAACATGCAAATGTCCAATAGGTCTAGGCATTTCAGACAAAACTAAGTACTCACACAACTATCTGATTTGATGAGAAAATAAGAAAATGCAGAAGCCTCAGGATGAGCATAAAGCACTCAAAAGGGAAAAAAATTTTGAATATGGCAAGGCATATCTTAAACCAAGTACTAGAAGGTTAACTGCAGGTGGCAAGGTTGGCAATTTCTTTCCTTTGATCTTCCACGTTAATATTCTTTCAGTCATATATATTAAAAAAAAAAACGTGGCATAGCTGGAATTTCCTTGCACAATCGACATAGAGCCAGAGGCTGGAGAACCATGTCCTTTTTTCTTTTTTTCTTTTTTTTTTTTGTCAGGAATTCAACAAGTTAATGGACCAGTAACCAAAAAACATGTGGAAAAAGAAAAATTACAACATAAAATTGAAATATTTTGAGAGTTCAGGGTGTGGATGGTTTGTCAAAAATGTGCTCCATAATTAAGATTTCAACAAATTCCTGCAGACATGGCAATACAAATGCAGTCATCACATTTCTGGCATTACCTCCAACTGCTTCAAAACCCAACTTGAGTAGATGAAGACAACAAAGCTTACCTTACTGTAAAAATGCCAAAAAGTGCTGATATTAGCTACGCTTTTCTTTCATCCAGTCAACAAAATTGTCTAGGATCAAGGGCCAAGCTAGGTCTGCATCATAGTTTTCAAGATCTGGAAAGCTAATCTGCAAACAAAGTGAAGTGAATGGTTTAAATTTCAACAAATGCACTTAAAAATTGCTATGCTTCTACTCCACAATGTGCTATATACAATTTCTACTAAAAACCATCATTTATTCATGTTGCTTAGATTTGCTTTGACAAAGAGAATCTTATAAACAAATTCCTGATGCGACTATTTCAACATGACATCCCATTGCAGATATCTTGGCGTTCCTGAGTAGAGCAACTACACAATACACAGGCCCAGATACCTATCGCATGGCAGGAAACTCGCAACCCAGGGCTGCAGGATTGCAAACCTTGCTGAGTCTAGTAAGATCAAGCCCAGGAAAGTTCTCAATCATGTTATGATCCCCTGTAAAAACTCTTACAATTCTTGTGATTACAAATATTTTCCAGAGTTACAAGTTCAAAATGTTTATAGATTACACAAATTGTCTTGGGTACTCAGCCTGTCAAATCTTAACCCGTATTAGTACAAAATCAACTTGACATCCTACAGCACGTGTGAGAATGAAGAAACGACAACAAAAACTAACTTACCTCCTTGCAAAAACGAAGAAAACCCATCCACTGGTCCAAGTTTATTGCCTTATAATCAGTCTGAATCTGTTTTATCAAGTCCGAAAGTCAGGAAACATGGCAAAAGGCAGATATTTTAGATAGCAAAATATGACATGATTTACTATCATCATCACTGCAGCATTGGCTACCCACCTTTAGAAACACTATTAATGAATCAACCTTGGATTGGAACTGGGACCCAAGAACAAGATTCAGCAATTCACAGACACTCTCAATGTCTACAGTTTTTTGCTTCTCTTCTGAGACAGTTAATGACATAAAAAAGTATCAGGATTAAAGAAAGCGTTTAAATAACATACAAAAGAAAGCAATTTCATAGAGTCAAACCACACCCATGTCTATACTTTTCTCACCTGTTAGGCAGTATCGAAATGCATATGAATAGAAATCTTGAAAATTTTCTTGTGTGTTCACCTACTCAGGGTATAAAAATGCAAATTCAGTAATTCATCAACCTCAATAATGTACAGGAAAAATCAGTAGTTACTCCAAAAACGTGCTGATACCTCCTTTTCCAGCTCTGGCAGCACTTTCTTTAATTTGCCGAGAGAATCAACCTTGAGAGCTTTCAAGCCACTTCGCCACTCATCCTGATAAAAAAGAGGATAATGGCCCATAACAACTTAGAGAATTGTTGAACCAAAGGAATGTTAGTACATGAGTCATTTCTCAGGACTCAAAGATGGATATCCAGTGAATGTAATTTTCATACATATAGCATGACATAAAATGATTGCGAATGTGAGTGTTATTTTCACCTCTTTAGATCACTGCTTACATCAATAGTGTCCGCTTCAGGAAGCCTCTTCCTCTGAACTCACTATATAAATTTAAGGATATCATACACTTTTTTTCTTGTTTTTTTTTTTTTTTTTTGAGGGGAGAGGCTACCATATACTTAACAAACAAGACATGACGCAGCATAATAGATGAAAAATAAACAGTTTCATACAGATACAGTTATAATGTTATAAAGAACATGCCTGTGCTTACCTGTGTAAAATAACCCTGCCTTTGAGCTTTCAGTTTCCTGAAATACAGAGAAAATCAAATTTAAGGTATAGGATTAGAGTTATAAGTAATAAATGGCTCGGCGACATTTCGACAATAAATGACATACCATGCAAACATCAGGATCCTAACATCAGTATGTTTCACATTCATATCCGAACACAATGTCTCAATTCCTTCTGGGCTGTTTGAGCACACATGAGAACATAGTAAGAAATCTGACGTTCCTGCTTGAAAGGCATGTCTTATTGCACCAACTTAGATGAATGCATAGCCAGACAAAGTTCTACCAATTTCAATGTGATTATAAGATTACGCATATATATTTTTGCTGTAAGTCACATATCAGTATAAACAGAATTTTGTAAAAGAAAAATAAAGAAAGAAAAAAAATCATAAAGCATGCCTAGACCTCGCAATGTTAACAATAAACATTATCAGTGTTTTAATACTAGTAAAAACACTTTTTTAGAGCATCACGGTACATTTAGCTGACAAATAATCAGGTGGGGACAAAAACTATTGTGGAATGCTAGCATCAGTCAACAAAATTTTAAATAGCACAATCGAGTGACGGCCAAAACAGTCATGAAACAAATGCTTCTCATGTCAATGAAATTAAACATTAATAACCCAAGTATGCAAATATTCACTATCAAAATGCTAATCACAAGACAAAACTTACTCAATGATGCCTAACGAGCTATTTGCATATGAATCAAATAGGCTATCTACCCGATCTATCTTCTTTGTTTTGGTTTTGTCTGTAGCTGCAAAAAGGATCATATTATATTGTTAGAAACGAGAAGCAGATGGCAAAAAATTGCGACTGATCAGTTAAAAATATCGATCATATTTGATAAAAAAGCCCCTCCCAGCCTGCTTGGCTTCCAATAGTAAAAAGAAAATCTTGCAGCAAGATTTTAAAAGTAATTGTAATCAAGAGCATCTAAAATAGTTCAAATTTGAATTACTGATTACAAGCATACCAATACATATAAGTCTATATTTTCACTGCTAAAAAAGATGGTTGATCATCAGCACTCTACAAACATTTTTTTCCAGCCCTTCACAGCAATCTCATAAGTGGAATATCCATGTTGTCCATGAAATCTCAACATATCATATAGAATACAGTAATCAGCTTTAAAAAAAGAAAAGGCACAACGTATGAATTTGGACCACCGTATCTTAACTCTTTTTGTAATAATTCAATAAGTTCTAATATCTCCAAAAAAAATTATCCATTTCATTAGACCTTCAAAAATGATAAAAGGCATGCTACTATGAGCAAATTATGACAAAAATAGGCCTAACTAAAATTCTCTATCTATACTAGTTAAAAAGAAGGAAATAAAACCCCGAAAACCATAAATCAAAATCTTTGAATATATATATATTTACCCAACAAGTTCATGCCAAAAAAAAAAAAAAAAAACCACGCATTCATCCCCATAATAAATTTTTAAAGAAAAAAAACCATTAACCAATCGAAAAAAAATCCAAAAATTCTATACCTTCCTTGAATTATTTAATAGCCAAACAGACTCTCTCTTCATAATTACAAATAAAAAAAAAAAACAGATTATTATACTCAAATCAATACTATTATTAATCTAAATTACCCAATGACCAAAAACAAATTACGATGCAATTAAAAAAAATTTGAATTTTTTCAGTTTTTCAAATAACTATCAAATCCTTAACATAGAAATTGTTGATTACCGATTCTCGTTCAACAAAGTTGCAAAGTTTCAAAATCCCAAAATTTCAATTTTGACTTTCCCGCGGTTTCTTGAAAAAGCAAACGCGAAATCAAGACTGACAGAGAGAGGTGCCAAATCAACAACCGTACCAGTACGACAATCGTCAAATGATGTGACGGCGGAGGAGTTTTGTGGGGCCGCAGCTTTTCGCTTTGATGCACGAGGAGGCATTGTGTTTTGTTATAGACGATAAACCACAACCGTTTGATCTGATGACTAAAAAGTTTCAGTCAAAACCCAGAATAAAACCCTAGAATGGAAATTTAAAAAAAAAAAAAACAAAAAGGAGTGTTTGGAGAGGGAATTTGAGGAGTCCTTTCTAAACAGAAAGAAGAGAGTTCTGATAGCTCTTTTCTTTAAGAGCTGCGCGACCTCCAGAGATTGGAAATAGAAAAAATTCACCGTCACGCTCGACCCTGCGCGTGCTTAGTTTTATGGTCTACTACTCCTTGTTCACTTCCTCCAAGACAATTGATGAATTTTTTTATTTTTTTATTCAAATATTCTTATTCTACAAAATTTAACATCAGAAATAGTATTAATCATATTCAAAACGAAAAACATATAATAAAATTTAATTTTTTTAATAAGTGTAATTTAAAAATTTGAATTATGCACGTTGATAAAAAAAACTTATTTGAAAATTAACTCACATGTCATTGAATCAACAATTTATTAGTATTGATGATTTCTTATTTTGAAGAACAACGTAATACTCCTTAATTTTTTATTATACGTATAATAGATCTTAATTTTGATATAATAATTCCTTAATGATAAGCAACGTAATACTCCTTAAAACTTACTTAAAAACTAACATGCTTATCATTGGACCAACAACTTGTTAGTATTTATAATTTTTTCTTTTGAAAAGCAACGTAATACTCCTTGATTTTTTATTATGTGTATAATAGACCTTAATTTTGACTATAATAATTCCTTAATAATAACCACCATTGATGTGAATCCGTTTAACTTTATGGATAGAGAAGCCACGAACAAGAAGGAAGAATCCTAAGAAAACCAAATCGGATTCGAAAATAAAAGATATTAGATGACACACTCCGGAAAGATAGAAGGGGTGCGATAAGTTTATGTGAACTTCATAAGAATGGAAAATTCTTAATAAGTTCGAATGTTGAACATCACAATAACAATTAGTTCTTGATAAGTTCGGAAAGTTCTTAAAGAACAAAGGATAATAAATCTCATAATAATGTTTAATTTGATTGATAAAAATTATTTGAAAATTACAACTTGTTTAGCTAAGTAAGCTCGCTAGAATTTAGAAAGATAAATAGAATTAAAATTACATAGGATCTATAACTAGAATATTAGATCAATACAAAACTACGAATAATTCTCCTTGAAATTGGAAGAAAACTCCTTGAATTCGAGTAGCTATAATTGTGGACCTAATCTTGATGAATACTAACTTGAAAAAGAGGTGTAAAATTTTGACTTTGAAATGACTTTGAAGTGGATTGATTCAGTAGTTTTAACTTTGTTAATCTTAGCCCAAACCATCAAGACAAGATGGTTCAACCAGATTGGACTTCAAGTCTAAACACGTAACCTCCGTAAAAACCTTTATTCATAACGTAACGTGTATTAGAATAATTCTATATATACATATATTAAGAGTAAGTATAATTCTCATTTCATCATGAGAAATTAATGCTTGAAATATGTGATTTATGTTAAATTAAAGTTATTGTGCTTAAGATTAATGGTTTAATTATTAAAGAAATCAAATATGCAAAATCGGTGTTTTAAGGACTATATTACGCCCGAGTTTTGTGTGAATTATTTGAGGACTTTAGGGTGATTTTTGGGTAAAACTTAAAGAATGAAAGTTATTCATATATGTGTTGAATAGACCTGTATAAAATTTTATAATTTTTGGACCTATACATTAAGAGTTATATCCATTATGGTGAGGGTTGTTTCGAAATGCATTCTGCTGGAATTTCGGGAGAAGAATCGCCTGAATCTTGTGAGATTTATTTGATGATGTTAGATTGATTTTTGAGAAAAACTTAAAGAATAATTTTTTTATATATATGTGTCTACTAGCTCTTTATAAAATTTCAAAATTTTTGGATATATATAGAAAGAGTTATGCACATTTTAGTATAGATGGGTTAAGAGGTAACACTCGCTGGAATTTTAAAGAAAAAGAAATTCTGAATTTTAAAAATGGAAATTTTTGAGTTTTTTATAAAATAAAGTAGGTTTAGTTACTTGAATTAAGTTAATTAGTGAGTTTAATTAGTCTAAATTTTATGTAGACACCTAAGAAATTGCAATAAATGAATTTAAGGCCAACTCACCCATTATGGTCCCAAAGCGACCACCTTTGCCCATGACTCACCTATAACTTTTACACCTTGTCCCATTAATTTCTAACACTTATAGATGAAGGGAAGTAAGTAAGTGTATATATATATATATAGCAAGTGTTAAAATGGTGAGAAAAATTTTAGCAACCCGTAAGTACCAAAAATTAGGAGAGAAAAGGCAAGAAAGAAAAGAAAGGAAAAAAAATATGAGTAGAGAAAGGAAAGGAAAAGAGAGAAAGAAAAAGGAAGGGAAAGGAAAAGAAAAAAGAAAAAGAAAAGCTAAGGAAACCTAACCCCATCTAAGCTAGGTAAGTGGGTTTTACTTCATGCTTGTTCTTTCTATGAATTTAATTCATGTATTTAATTAAGTTATTGCTTGTATTGGCTTGGTGTGGATGGCTTGGTTTGAATTTATTGGATATATTGTCTCTATATGCTCCTTAAAGTCTATCATGCCTAGTGTATATTTTATCATGTGTTGATTATTGTGGGATAAAAAAATTTAAGGACTTGGACCGAAAATGGGGATGAAGAAATTGGAAGAGAAATAAAGGAATGCTTAGGGCTTTCTTAAAAACCCATTCGGCCTAGGAATCCCAAAGTGAGCACAATTGGATTTCTTTTATGAACTTTAAGGCCTACAACCACTAGCAATCCAATTCAAGTGCAAAATAATAAGCTAGAGTGGAAGAGATTTAACAAAAATGAAAGGGAAACCTTAGGCTATTTTTAGGACTTTATGACCTTTCAACCTTGTGATTAAGAGTTAAATTACATTTAAACAAGTGTAGAATAAAATACTAAGAGGTAAGAATTCAAGAGTAAAATCGAATTCATGACCTAGGCCTATTGGGGACAAAATTCGGCTATAAATACCCAAGCTAGGGTTAGGAAAGAAATCCTAATTTGGTACGTACGGATTAGTTAGTCCCAACCATCCAGTCTTATGAGTAATGATTTAATAGTACCTAGAATATAATTTTACCTTGGTATGCCACAAAGCAACCCTTAAAATCAATGGCCACATAAATCAAGTGAAATGACGAAACTCATCGAAAATAAGCGAGAAAGCGTGCCCACGTGCAAAAGAAAATTGGTGGCTACATAAATTAAGTAAAATGATGAATCTCACCGAAAATAATTGAGAAAGCATGCCCACGTACAAAAGAAAATTGGTGGTCGGACTATTACTAGTCGGCGAGTGATGGGCCCTCCTCGAGGGAATACGAGTGTAGGAATGGTATGAAAATATATGAAAACCCTATGTGGGTTGGACCTAAGGAGACCACTGTGTGGGTTAGGCCTACGAAACCCTATGTGGGTTAGATCGATGAAAATATCTAGAACCGAACCCCGTATGAGGAAAGAATTTATAGTGTAAGGTTGGTGCCCCTAGTACGTTTAACACGGTAAATATAACATCACGTGCATCATGTGCATAGTGGGTGGTTTAAGACAAGTCAATTGATTGAGAAATGGTTTATACATCTAGTTTTGATAACCTAACTGGAATAAATGGGTATTAGTAGTCCAAGTACTCTAGGTTGTGTGCCCGCACTATTAGACGATGAATTCTCGATAATAGTAGTTACAATGAGGGATAATTCGTTATAGCAGAAGATGATCCGAGGATTAGTTTGGATGAAATTAAGCCGTGTACTTGCACTTGTTAGATGATGGATTCCCGCTAACAATAGTTACAACGAGGGATAATTACGTTATAGCAGAAGGTGATCTACGGACCACCCGGATGATAAATAGAGTAGATCGGCTAATACCTAGGGTATCCGAGATTAAAATTTATGAGTATGGTGGGAAGTCAAAACAACATTGCATGTCACGTGCATCACCCCACTTACCGAGCTTCGACTCACCTCGTTGTTATTTCTATATCGTGACAGGAAAAGGACAAGTTGGTACGGATACGGTCGACTCCTCCTAACCGGCTCATATGAGGCACCATATATTAGTTTTTTTTCCGTAAATTTGAGTTATGGAGTTCGTGAGAAATTAAATATTGTCCGTAATGTTTTATTAATGTATTTAATTATGTTATATAAATTTTATTTTAAGGAGTTATATACGTAATGTACTTGTTAAAGTTTTAAGAATACCATAAGAGAACTACTTAGAGTTTAGGGTATGTCAACGTAACGCGCTTCGTCCAGTACCCTACTTGGGTAGTAGAAATATGATCGGGGCGAGGGTGTTACAAAACAATTCGACCCGACCCAAAAGCTTGGATCGGATTCACGAGGGCCATCCGATGATCTTCAAGCCCATCGATGGAGAATTCGACCCACTAAAGTTAGATAAGCTCATTTAAGGACTCATGGATTTTTTTAGCTCAAGCCCTTATGATTGGGCCCTACTGAAATGGCCAATAGTTCGGCCTCCTCAAGATCAAGCCCACGATCAACTTGTGCATCATTTGGAAGCATACGGCTAGAATCAATAGCCCATTTCGGTATATAATCCCTCTTGGCCCAAATGATAATTGAATCGGCTCATTTTGGTCAAGCCATAATTCATATTGTAGGCTCGATAATTTTAATCCAAAAACCAAGGTATGACTCCTTTAAAAACTCATTTCCATGCAAATCGGACCATATGGATTTTGCATAGTACAAATTTCTTTATGGAGTAATCCATTTAATTCGCATAATTCGACCCTCCCATGATCATATCATACCCCCACTCTTTGAAAAGATTCGTCCTCGAATCTTCACTTTTATACTCGAATTCATGCCTTGATAAGAGAGTAGTAGCATCAAACCATGCGGATGTAATAGACTTTGAGCCATGAATAATTATAGAAAAGTTTGTAAA